AAGAGACAGATCTATCTCTCTATCTCTCTCTCTCTCTCTATATATATATATATATATGTATATATAAAAATTTTCTTTTTTGCTTGGTGGTTTTTGGTTTTATTTTGTTGTTGTTCTGATTTTTAGGGGGGTAGAAGGGAACCAGGTCTTGAGAAGCGTTACTCCTTCGGACAAATAACTGCTCTGCCGTAGGACCAGCGATCAGATCCGTGGCTGTGAGCTTTTAAGCAGCCCAGGGAAGCGAGTCACCCCGAGCGGGCTGAGCTCTCAGCTGGTTTGGTGGCTCCGTGCGCTGGGGTGGCCGCTTTGCTTTCCCACTACCGGCCCGTTAGAGCGCGCAGCTGGGCGGAAGGCTTGGGAGGGCTGGGAGTGATGGGAGTAGCTGGGGTGATGCTTTCTGGGCTGGACCACAGGCTCAGGTAACTCCTCCCAAGCAGCTGCTGAGCTCGTTTTGCAAGAGGGACCTTGTGCTGTGAAGACTCAACATTTTCAGTTCTCTTGACTTATAGACATAATTTTTTTTTTTTTTTTTGAGTACCCAGGTCACATGTGCTCTAAGTAAATGGCAGAGACAGCTTTGGAAATTCAAACACGATTTCTGACCGGTTTTGTCAGCAGGCCAGGCTCTGCCAGGAGCTGGGTATGGCTCTCTGGAGCAAAACCTGGCGCGTGTGTGTGCTTTACCCTCCACGTCCCCAGTGCGCGGAGGGATGAGCCCTGATGTAGCTTTGTGGCACGGGGGGACAGGGGACTGCGGGGAGGGAGGGCAGGACAGTCAGCTGGTCCCTGGGCTGAGACCCTGAGACAGACCCTGCTGCCGGGGGGAGCAATATCCCCTAGAAATGCATCCAAATATATCTATATATCTATATAAACAGATATGTGTGTGTGTATTTATATCCGCGTAGAGAGCAGGGTACAGCTCCGTGGCCAAGCTGTGCCCTCGCAGCCGTGTCCCTGCGCAGAGCCGGACTTTGAAAGGCAAAGGACAGCTCGGCGAGAAATAGGACTTAAAAAAAACCCTCTTCTATAAAATAAGCGTAAACTGGAAAGGCGCCGTAGCACTTGACTTCTCCAAAGAGCTTTATACAGCGAGTGGGCTGTCTCCAGCAGTAACGTGGAAATCCCAGTCCCGTGAGCCTGAGCTCCCCTCGCCTGCCCGAGGTGGCGGCTCTGTCTGGAACACGCGGGCAGCTGCCGGGTATTTGCCTTTGAACTTCACGGGTTACGCTTCGTGCTGGTGAGGATTGGCATCACTTGTGCTATTCTGTGCACTGTGGGGTTTTGGTATGTAGGGGTCCAGCTGTGCTTTAGCTCAAAATAATAAAAAAAGGAAAAAAAAAAAAAAAAAAAAAAAGGAAAAGGAAAAAAAATCAGGTCAGTGCCTGCCCCAACTGTGCTGTGAGCCTGGGGGCTGGTGGTGCTGGAAATGCAGCTCCAGCTGCTCAAATAGCTACTGGAAGGCGAATTCCTTTCAGCTGTGCTAAATTTGGGGTGCAGCAGTGGTGTCGGGGGCCCCGGGGAGGGCTGCCCTGGGGCTGGTGCCCCTGACCCCCCCGGCAGCGCCTGTGGTTGCTCCCCAGTGTGGGAAATGGCGCTGTGGCAGCGGCTGCCCGACACAGCCACAAAATCCAGCGTGTCAAAAGAGAAAGAGCTGGAGGAGCAAGGCATGACCTGCACTAGGGCCCTGTCCTGCCCCTGTCACTATCCCCCGCCCGTGGATGAGCAGAGCTTTTTATTTATTTTATTTGGCTTTAAATAATTCATCAGGAGCAGCAAAAAGTGCAGCGATTGTTTGCGGCGCGCTGCAGTGGAAGGTAGATGGATGGTCCCTAAATTATACCTTGATCTGGCAAAAAAATTGCACAGATCCAGCTGTAACATAAAGGTTAAAGCAGGAGGGTGTAATTAAAAGGGTATTTTGTGCTGCAGTGATAGGTTTAAGTTAGGGTAGGGGTTTAATGTGTGGCGGCACATTTCAAGGCCTTGTGGCTAATTATCTTGTCTCCAGCCTGGCTCTGGGAGGTGGGGAGAAGGGTAAGAAATTTATCTTGCGGATGCTGAGATGTAGCTGGTGTCGGGGATGAAGGTGCTGCCTCCCCTTGGGCTGGGAAGTCATGAGCTGCCGCGTTCAGGGGGGAAGCCATGAGCTCGGGAGCCTCAGGGATGGATGTGAATGTTCTCATGAGTGTGAGAGTGAATAAAACCAAAGGAGTGAGGCTGAATAAGGGGAATATTTAATCAATGAATAGGAACTGATGGTGAAAGCGAGGGAAACGCAGGTGCCTTATTCATGGCTACGAGATGACATCAGGTGTGTGTCACATCCCAACGTATCTGGGTTTGTTCCCAGCCCTGCAGTGCTCCCACCTGTCTCCACACCAGCCAGGGAGCGTCTCAGCTGGGGGGGGTCTGCCCCTTTTGGAGGAAAACAGGTGATTTGGTTAAAAGCAGGGACTCATCTTCTCCACCTGCTGGTTTCCTAAGGGGTGAGGATGTGTGTCCCTTGAGGGCTTAACAATATTCTCTAATTGTTTTCTTTTCCTTCTAGAAACCTTGGAAAATCCGGACTGAGAGTTTCGTGCCTCGGGCTGGGTGAGTAACCTCCGCGGCCGCCCGCGGCTCTGGAGTCGTGGTAGTGGCTCTTGCTTCTGAGTAAATAAAAAAAGTGTGGTTTCTCAGAGCCCCAGCCTGCGCCCGCCCGTGCAGGTGGCCCACCCAGAAGCCCTTACGGGTGGTCATAACATCCGTGCCGCAGCCGCGGCGCCCGCCCGCCGCGGGAGGGGATGCTTTCCACCCATAGTGCTGGCTGGAACTGTGCGAGTGTTTGTGGCATGAAATCCTTCCGATATGACCCGGTGCCCGTGAGGGACAGCCGGCAGAGACCACATCTGAGATGTCTGCGAATGTCCCCAAGAGCTTTCGGCGTCAGAGCCCCAGTGCTGGGGGACGACCCTGCCTGGGCTGCGGGCAGGTTTTCGTTTTGTTTTATCCAGTGCGTGTACCTTGTTATTTCTGCTCCGTGTTGATTTGAAAACTGAAGACTACCTTATCAATATTTTATCTTATCAATATTTTATCCAAAAGGGCATCTCCAGGCACTGCAGCTCATACGTGCTGGCCCCGCAGCGGTGCTGCTGGCCTTTGGCTGCCGGTAAGAGCGTGTGCGATGGGCTGGGCAGCTCCTGACGGCTTTACTCGGGCGAGGAATTTCTTTGACAGTGTTTGAACTGCTCACGTGAAGAATGCTTAGAAGCACATATCTATATAAAAAAAAAAAAAACCCAAACAAAAAAAACCCAAAACAACCCAAAGCTCACCAAGCGCTGTGGAAAGGAGGAGGCTGTTTGTCTGGCTGCGAGCACTTTCCCGTGGTGTAAGGCTGGGACATGGGGAGTGTGGATGCTCTGCTCTGCCAGGGCCCCTCCAGCCCCGGCTTAAAGGGGGTTCTGTGTTCCCCCGGGGTCAGGGGTGCTGGCACGGGGAGGTGGAGGCACTGGCATGTCTTTAGGGAAGCAGTTGGGTGTGCGGGGCTCCCGCGCTGCTGCCTTGGGGGCGAACGGGTGAAGGCAGGAGCAGGCAAGGACCTGGGTGCCTGCTGTGGCTATGGACATCCCATCCAGCTCCCGGCTCCATCCCCGGCTGGTGCCCATGCTCACAGGGCAGGTGACCGGGGGGTTAACTTGCTTTTTCCAGCACGCTTTGAGATTTGATTTTAAAATAGAGTGAAATGTGAAAGTCACCCTATATCACAAGTCATATAAATAAGGCCTATTCCACCAAGAAGGGCTCTTGTGGTTAAAATAGATCCAGGCTTTGAAAAGAGTTGTTTTCTTATCTGTGCAGAGCTTTTATTTACCATCCTTGGAGTTCACCACGAGCTAATGTTGTGGTGGGGAAGGGAAGGAAGTAGCAGCAGGAAAAAGCATTTTGCAGAGCTTTTCTTTAATTTCGAGCATGTGGAACTGCAGCAGCATCTAAATATATTGAGCCTTTGTGAGCGCAGCTGCGTGGGATAAGTGGGGGCTGAGCAGGGAGCGAGCGGCTGCTCTGGGCAAGGGCAGGGCTGGGGGAGAGTGCTTGGGCATCTCGGCCGGCGCCCCAGCCGTGAGCCCTACGGCCCCGTGTGCAGGGAGGGGGGACCGGCAAGTCTGCCGTTCACTCGCCTCCTCCTCTTGAACGTCCAGGTATTTCTTGTGCAGCACAGCACGCCCTCCCCTCCCGCTGCAGATCCTTCGGGGTAGCTTATATGACTTTCCTAAACAGCTTCTCTTTCAGTTCCCTCAAAGATAAATGTGTTTCCCTAAGCTGTCCGTGGCATGAAAATCTAATTTAAGGTTTACTAAAGTTTCTGAAGGCTCAGCAGTCTTCCTTAAAAGCCTTCCGAAACCGCAGCAAGGTGGGAGTGTGCCTCATCCTGTAGTATGAAAAAGTAAGCGGAGAAAAATGTGAAGCGGGGCAGGAATCAAAGGCGGGCGGTGCCAAGGCGATGCGTACCCTTTCATTACGTCCAGCTTCTCCCAGCTCGCGCTCTCCAATTAATTCATTAGCTGGGTGCCGCTTGCCGTGTGAGCAGCGCGGGTCAGGCGTGCTGCAGCTTGTTCCCGCAGCAAAGCGTCGCTGCGACGGGCGCTGAGCATCCCTCCTGGGTTGCTGAACCTCCCACCGGAGCTGGGACCCGGGCTGGGCTTTCACCTCCTCAGGTGAGGCTTTAATTGAGGGATTTAACAGCCTAACCCTGGGTAGGGGCATGGGCTGGCGCGGGGCCCTGTCTGGGACGCTGTGAAACCGATTGCCGTGCCGGGGGATGAAATAAGGTCACGTTTTCCCTGTAGTTAATTCCGAGTGAATTCTGCCTGTGGAGGCTGCCTGTTGAATTTTTTTTTTTTTAGAAAATGTTGAGACAGACTCCAACGAGGTGATTAGCCCTGACTCTGGGGAAACGAGCAGCAGGATGAATCCAGCCATCCCAACCCCCCGAAATCCAGTTCAACGTACAAAAGCACAAGAAGAACGTTCCCAAACGAGCGGTTCCTGCAGCCGCCGGCGGGATACCCTGTGCTCGCATTTGGGTACGACAACAGCTGGTTTGTGAGCAGAAAGGGGGCGGCTGCTGCCCTTGGCCATTTGTTCCGGGCGAAGCTTTTGCAAACCCGGGCCCGGGCTCCCTGGCGAAGGGTCCGATTCGCACCCGGGCGCTCACAGCGCGTAGGGCTGGGAGTTCGCTGGGTGCTCGAGCGCCAGACCAGAACCACCTGCCAGATCTCCCTGTGGCATCATCCTTGCCAGGAGCAAACCAGGGATAAAATTGTACAGGCAGGAGGCGAAGCTTTGGCTTCCCGACAGGAACTCTTTCTTTTTTTCCTGCAGAGGTGACACATCTGCTGGCAATGACATTGAGTGGTGAATTTTGCATCAGCAAATAACCCCCTAATAATCACACCTTGCTAGGCTCTGGGATGTGATGGAAGTGGAGCCAAATCCAGTTTTAATACAGAAATTCCTCCGCTGAAGGTGACGCGATCCAGCTGGGAGGTTGCTTTCCAGCGCAAGGCAGCGATGTGCTGGGCGAGGGGCAGGAGTGGGAGGTCTATCTGCCACGCTCAGCCGTGGGGGGGTGCGTTTATAAACACTGGATTGGGATAGACAAGAGAAACACTTTGTAAGGGGATAAGTGGTGGTTTTTAAAAAATCTTTCTCTAGTATATTTTTCTTCCAAAATCCTCCCATGGGCCGAGGTTGTGAATCATCCGTCGTTGTTTGAAATGCCAAGTGCACCTTGTGCTTTCTGGAGTTAATTTATTTTTTTTTTTTTTTAACGCTTTCGAAGCTTTAACATGGAAATCGGGCTCCATTTGGAGTTTTTTCATCTGCATAAGGAAGCTTAATGATAAATTGAAACCTATTTTTATCTTTATTGTGTGGGACCGGACCATTTTACTCCCAAGATAAGAGAAAGTACCTTTCCTGAGGTCTGCAACCAGGAACGCGTAGCAAGGGCTCGGTGAGTGCTGCTGTTGCTTGGTGATCGCCCTCGGAGAGAGCAGGAGCAAACGCCACATTAGTGAAGTCTGTGCTCTCTGCTCCTTCTCTTTATTTCGGTAGCGTTGGTTGTGTTCTGCATTTCCGATCTGTGGAAAAACTTGGCTTTTCCAGAGCTTGGGTTATTCTGCCAGGACCGAAGAGTTTCGGTTACGCAGCACACGTGCGCAGAATCGCGGAGTCGTTTGGGCTGGAACAGACCTTTCGGATCGTCGAGTCCAACTGTTCACCCAGCACTGCCAAGTCCAGCGTCCTTAAAAATAACTTTATTTGTACTCAGAGTAACCTGATGTATATATATAAAAAAAAAAAAAATCAGATTGACTTTTTTTGAGGGAAATAGAGCAGGATTCTCCTCATGGTGCCAAGTCCGCTCGTTCTGTTCCTGACCGGGGGCTGACCAAAGCTCTTTGCTTTCTGACTCCTGCTCAAGGTCCATCTGTGAGCAATGAGCTAACCAATATATTTTTAATGAAGGTGTGAGAGTGTTTATGTATCTATTGCACCGGGCCCTTTGCAAGTGCAAGCAGGCAGGGAGCATTTAATTTCCCCCCCCCCCCCCCC